ACCAAGATTTTTTTTTATAATACAATAATGAATATCCTTTAGACAGAGCTACACACACTAAATATTACAAACTATATATAGGCGTTCAAGTCGTCTGAAGATCGTGAGAGCGTGAAACCTGAGTAACGACTTGGACTGTCCTTTGTTAAATGTTCACGTTGTGAATTGTTTTTTGCTCTGTCAAGATAATCTGGGCGTTGGGCTTTTTATTGCGTAGGTAAGTGTTTGCCTTTTGTTCTTTTATTTCTTTCCTTATTCGGGATTTTTTTTTTGTCTAAATTGTTAGGTCTTCTGGGAAGTGTCTATTGGTTACACTAACACAATTGATTTTTCTTTAGTAGTAGTAGTAGTAGTAGTAGTATATATATATATGTGTGTGTTCGTGTGCATGTGTGTATGTGTAAAGCGCAAAAATTAAGCAAGCATTATGTGGTTGCCTTGGACTGGGCTAAGGGTTAGCGAGACCGTCTGAACGACCATTACTACTGAGTAATGATTTCGATCCTCATTGGGTAACACAAATATGCGGCCTTGGGCCAAAAGTAAGATAAACCTTGTCTACAACAGCATAAGTGTCCACGTTGTCTACATTTTCAATATGACATCAAGTCTATGTAGTCTGCCGGAGCTCATCCCTCTTCAAGCTAGTTTTCGAATATAGATTTTTCCTCCTCCATGACTGGTTACCATCTCAAGGAACGAGATCTCAGTTAGCCTTGCTATTTAATCTATAGAAGAGAAGTGATAGATTCACACCTTCACCGAGAGTATTTGTACGAAATTTATCGCAAGGAGTTTTGTCGGAATTCGAACTTGGATCGCCGATTTCTTTACCCCATTCGCTAACCGTTATATTTCACGCACATGCAGTTTCTGTATATTAAGCAATGCATATTGCCCGTCCCCGGAGATTTATTTCTAACATGTCGGATACTCTTTTAGATTAAGCGCATTGCACGCATAATTAAAAAACGGCATCTATTTATTGTTATTTTGAATCATGGGGAATAACATACATTGCTTGCGATAAAATTGTAAACATTTTCTCTCATAGTCTTCTGATCTTTTGAATGGGTGAAGTTATTTTTTTCCTTCTTTGTGCTGTATCCCCTCAGTAGCTCTTACCAATATTTGTCTTTTCACTATCTTTCTCACGCCCTATTTTGCCCTCCATTCATATAAACTTGTTAAGGTAGGCTACCACTTGTTTTTCTCTCTTTTTACCTTCAATATATCCTGTTATTCTCAAATTTTCCAAGCTCTCTTATTCGAGAAATTTCAACTGTCTATGTCTGTTAGTCAGTTCAGTGCTATACATGATACACTCTTGGGCGATCATGACACTTTCAACTCATGACTGACTAAACAGAGGATTTCCCCGCAGTAAGTTGCCTTTTCTTTCTGCAATAGAATGGTTGATAACCAAGGCAATACAGTCTGTCCTGCTATTCAGCTCATAGCTGGAGTTATTTGAGATAGATTTATCCCTTTCCCAAGGGTATTTGCGCGTAAAAGAATGTAAGAAACCCGAATGAATTTAGAACGAATTATCCATCACCCAACACCGATCAGCTGAGACAACATCAAAGATTTTAGAGTTGAATTTAGATGGCTTATCCCAATTTCGCACTAATACCTTTAAAGAAAGCACGAATCAAAAGTTCTGTGTCCTTTGTCCTATCGCTAGACCATGACCATGATCTTATCATTATCACGCCATGAATACAAAAAAAGAAAAAAAAAAGGTGAGGCAAATTTAAATTATCTTGCCTCATATTGACAGTGTAATGGCTCCTATATCCATTTTTATTATTGATAAATATAGTCTAGCAAATGATTACCCTTGAAACATATCTTTAAGCGTAAAGTAATGAAATTAGTAGCTTTTATCACTAGGCCGCTGAATATTCTAAAGTTAACAACCCTATTCACGGAGATCAGTAAAAAAAAAAAAAAAAAACATGTAACGTTCGTACATTCTAAGGTGAAATATTTGTTTTGAATAAAGTTCTTTCTTTCTTTTTATGTGTCATATCCTTTCAGGACGTAGGCGATCATGGCTCTCCACCTCCTTCTATCCCTTGCAGCTCTCAACAAATTCCTTTCCTCTGCTTCCCCACGCAGACCACGTTGTCATCCACTTGCTTAAGCCCGCCAGGTATGTCAGGCGTTGTTTTCCCTAGGCTCTCTTTTCCTCTATTCGACCCGTGAATATCAGATTCTCCAGGTCCTCCTTCCACATTATGTGTTCCAGAAACATCAGCTGCTTCTTCCTGATGTTAAGCATAATCCTCCTCCTTGTTCGAAACCTCTCTAAGACCTCATCGTTGCTCACACGCTCGGGCCATGATATTTTTAGCATCCTTCTGTAGAACCACATCTCTGTAGCCTGGAGTTTCTTTATCTTTGAGGAAATCGTCCAATATTCGCTGCCGTAAAGAAGGACAGATGTCGCGTAACAGTTCAGTATTCTTTTCTTTGTTACCAAAGAAATCCTCCTGTCTTGCACTACTCTGCCCAGCTTTTGAAATATTTCCTTGGCCATCCCAATAAGTCTACGGATCTCAGTGATGCACTTACCGTCCTCTGTCAAGACGCTTCCCAGATATTTAAACTTCCGCGGCTGCATGATTCTAGTGTTTACGACCTGCAGATCGCATTTCGGGCTCATCCTCTTACTGACGACAATGCACACTGTCTTCTTGTAGTTTATGCTTAGTCCTTTCTTCTCATCTGAATTCTGTTGAATCTGTAACATAATATCGTCGTTGCTGAGAAGGAAAATGAGTCATTAGAATCTCAGGAAATGTATTGTTGTCCGAAGTCAAGAAATACACATATATATACATACACATAAGCAGTGTTTACTTCTCTTTCTTCATATAAGCCAACAGAAGAGCATCCATTAATTTTGCTTACAACAGACTGATGTAACAATGTTGACCAAAATTCGGTTCGATGTAAATGTCAAGGCAAGCGTCTTTTTTTCGGGCGATGTAAATATAAAATAGGACACTGAGGTAAAAAAAAAAAAACGAGAGTCTGTTTCATGCTTCAGTTCATATCTATATATCTATCGCCTAAAAATTGCGTTCAAGTATGAAACAGGCTGTCACCAATCAGTGTTGACCTCAGTGTTCACACACACACACACACACAGAAATATATTTGTATATATGAAGAAATATAGTTTTAAGGTGTACTATATTTATGGGATAAAGTACTCAATATATATATATATATATATATATATATATATATATATATATATATATATATATTATTATTATTATTAGTAGTAATCTTATAAGTATAAGAAACTATACTCATTCAGAAAACCTTCGGTGTCTTGATTTGCAAATAATCAAACCAATACCAAAGGGGAAAAAAGGTGTAAAAAAAGAAAGAACCAAGAACATGTACGTTAGCCGAAAATAATCGTCCAGCATGCAAGTTCAAAGCCCAAAAAAAAAAAAAACCGATGCGAGTACGCAAAATAACGAAATAAAGTGTTCAATACAATAAGTAGAGCAGACCTACTTAAACTGAGAGAGCCAGACAACCTACTGATGTTTTTTTAGCGGATCGTCAGAGAAGGCTGGCTTCCTGACGATCCGCTAAGGTGAAATCGTGGTAGGTTGTTTGGCTTTTAGGTTTAACTATATATATATATATATATATATATATATATATATATATATATATATATATATACAGGTGTCCCAAAATAATGTATACACTCTTTAAATATTAATAGTTAATAATACATTACCGTCATGTGAGAACTTATATGGATGAAAAAATGCAAAACAGATGGATTGGAAGAAGAGGGACTGTTGAATACCCACCTAGATCACCAGGTTTGACATCCTTGGATTTCGTTTTGTGGGGTTTCTAAAATACAAAGTTTACAGCAGGAAACCTAAAACAATTGCTAAAATGAGAGTAGCAATTGAAGAAGAATGTGTTAAAATACCAGAGGAAATGATACTGGACGTTTATAGGTCCATTTCTTTAAGATATGAAAAGTGTATTGAACAGAACGGCAACCAGTTTGAGCACTTGATGTGAACTCATCATTATATGAATATTCTGCCATTGCCCCAAATAGCTTTTATTTTATTAAAGTTAACTTTCGATGTTTTTTGTATATTTTACTCTGAAATTCTTTAAATATGTATTCTTTCTCTTGTATTAATCTTATTTACAAGTCAAAATACATAAATTATAACGATTCAAAGAGTGTATATCTTATTTTGGGACACCCTATATATTATTCTTTCCCCTTTTCCTTCTCATTGCACATTTTCTAGTGTTTTAATTTAAATCTCCCGTGGAAGCCTGATGAGCATGAGCGAAACCGGTTTCATTAAATACGACTGACAAGGTACTGCGGTTAGGTATTTTTATTTACTTTCCGTGTTGGCTGCCAGGTCATATAATTTAATAATTGTGCATTTGGGTAGCAATCCCTCTTAAAAAAACTGTATTTTTGTTGATGATTTTTGATAGATTTTTGTGTTTGGAAATTCTTTTGAAATTTTGAAGAATATTTTTCTTATTTTTGTTTTTATTGCATTGTTATAGGGTGGGTTAAACCAGGTTATGTTTCTTTTTTTATTGTGTTTGGTTTGTCTTTATTTGTATATTCTAGTTTGTTCGAATAGCCGCTATTACTTAAAGGCTGTTTAATATACTTTTTTTGTTTTCGTTGAATGGAATTTGTTGATATTCTTTTGTTCATAGACATAAGTATTACAATAATGAGAAATTATTCTATTATTATAAGTTTGGCCCTTTTACCCCCTGTAGACGGGTACTTTAGCTAGTTTATATATAATGCGTTGTCAATGTTATTTCACATACTTACGTTTTGTTTCCCTCTCGTCTGAGTTTCTTATATACCAATTGCATGTGTGTGCATAACATACACACAAGTAATGAGAAACCCAAACATTTTCCGGAAGATAGCCAGCATTACACATAGATAGATAGTGCGTATGTGTTTTGATCTATCTATCTATCTATCTATCTCAGTCTGCTTCTACATATTTATCGCAATCTGTCTGTCTGTCTGTCTCTCTCTCTCTATATATATATATATCTTCTACTTATCTATCACAATCCGTTTCTTTCTATCTAAATGTATTTCTATCTATCTAAATCTGTTTCCTTCTCTCTGTCTATCTATCTATGTTTCTTTCTATCTATCTAAATCTTTTTCTATCTATCTAAATCTGTTTCTTTCTATCTATCTATCTAAATCTGTTTCTTTCTATCTATCTATCTATCTATCTAAATCTGTTTCTTTCTATCTATCTATCTATGTTTCTATCTATCTATCTATCTATCTAAATCTGTTTCTTTCTATCTATCTATATCTGTTTCTATCTATCTATATCTGTTTCTATCTATCTATATCTGTTTCTATCTATCTATCTATCTATATATGTTTCTTTCTATCTATATCTGTATCTATCTATCTATATCTGTTTCTTTCTATCTATATCTGTATCTATCTATCTATCTAAATCTGTTTCTATCTATCTATCTATCTAAATCTGTTTCTATCTATCTATCTATCTAAATCTGTTTCTATCTATCTATCTATCTAAATCTGTTCTATCTATCTATCTATCTAAATCTGTTTCTATCTATCTAAATCTGTTTCTATCTATCTATCTAAATCTGTTTCTATCTATCTATCTATCTAAATCTGTTTCTATCTATCTATCTATTGTATGCATGCAGACGTATTAATTATACATACGCATAAATACAAATCTGTCGTTGGGTCTGTCTATCTGTCAAATGCTTAGAAATGGAATTTATGGTCTTTTGTAGACATTCCCAACTGAAGTCATTTCGCTGAAAATCACGTGACATGTCAGCCGATAATCATGGGAAAAAGAAAGAGAAAAAGAACAAGAATGTCTCAGAAGAAGAGAGAACCGAAAGGAAATTAGGTGGGAGGGTGTTGAAAGAGTTCGAAGAAAAGATGGCATATAATGAAAGCAGAAAGAAGAGGAAGAAAAACAAGAGTGAAAGGAAAGCCGAAGAAGCAATAGAAAGAAGGAATGAGAGAAAGGTAGAGTTAAAAAGAAAGAAAAGATATGAGAGTGAGCGAGAAACAGAGGGAGAGATAGATAATCAAGAATAAAATAAAATCGTAGAATAAAATCGTAGAAGGCAAAATTCAGACTACTCTTTTGATTTCTGGCATTCTATTTGAAATAAAATACGTTAAAAATTTAGAAATTAAAAAGCATTAAACAAATGATAATTACAAAATATATCCTTTTAATTAATTCATATACTTAATAAGCAACCATTAAAACATCTCTCACGTATTGTTCAATGGGTTTGAACCCTACCTTATAGTAACTGATCTGCATAATGATACTGTGTAAAAAATATATGTAAAAAACACCGTTTAATTTACGTCAGAAGGATGTCGAAATGCGCGGGAAATATTCCCACGACAAAGAGATAGACGCAAATATGCATGTTATCGTAGCCAAAAGCTCAGCGTACAACCGTTTACAAACACATACACATATTTATATTTCGAAATGCACAAAAAGAAATTATTTATAAATAACCCAACAAACATGCTACACACATAACTTTTAAGTACGCAATACAAACTGCCAGAAACGTATACACATTAAATGAATACTTACGTCAGAGCAGTCTTGCTTGGGAATACATTCCTCTTTGCAAGCAAATACTCAGTTACATGTTTATGTACATTAGATGCCCAATATATACATAAATATAAGTATATATATTTACTATACTATACTCCCTCTATATATATATATATATATATATATATATATATATATATATATATATATATATATATATATATATATAGAGAGAGAGAGAGAGAGAGATAGATAGATAGATGTCACATGGTGGACTCTCCCGTTGTATTCGACAAGCAGATGAGTTTCTAGGAACCGAAAGCCCAGGTACCACATGATTTGATTATAGTGGTGAAGGCTTTGTGCAGAACCAACCACACTTTTCGAAGGGCCGAATACAGACTTATATATATATATATATATATATATATATATATATGCAGGCAACTAAAAACCAAACCGATTGTAATAAAATGTGATCATTTATTTTGCGCTGTAATATTTGCTTTATATATTACAAGACATTAGTTCTACCCTGTAAAGTTTGTTAATAAGTCCAGAAAAAGCAATGGGCGAAGCGAGTTCAAATTCCGTTTGAGGTCGTAGGAGTGACACTATTGTCCTTGGGGAAACCATGAATCCGCAAGCCGATTAAAGGTCGAGTCAAGGGATTACCGCCTGCTGCTTTTATCTGGTAACCGAGTAACAACCTGTCGACTGTTACTTGGAGGGACGATACGCGTTACCGAGTAAAACTCATTGACCTGCATAATGTTCTGAGGAACACCAGCATGGTATCCCGGCAGTCTACAGGATCATGGCACAATCTGATTTGATTCTGAGAGTAAGAAAGTAACACACACACACACACACACACACGTATATATATATATATATATATATATTTCTAAAGAAAGGGATGGATTTTATTATTTAAACGTTACTTTTAGTGAATACACGTATTTGAGTAGACTCTCCGTTTATTTATTTATATATATATATATATATATATATATATATATATATATATATATATATATATATAAAGTGTGTATGTGTGTGTGTGTGTATGACTAATTTTTCATTTATTTTGTTTAAACGTTATTTTTGATGGATACTCATATTAAAGTAGAAGCTTTTTTTTTTTTTTAATTCAACAGTATTTTTTATTCAACAAAAAATAATTTTAGGAAATGTATCAAGTCCAACATATAGTTATTTTTAATTTTTAATTTATTTTGTTTAAACATTACTTTTATGTTTTATGAATATGTCCTGAAGATGGTCTATTAGACCGAAACGTCCGACGTTGACATTATATTAACATTAATACAGCATAATTGCATATTAGGATTTTTGTTTGTTTTTACGTATATTTTTCTTCATATATATATATATATATATATATATATATATATATATATATATATATATATATTTTTTTTTTATAAACAGGATTAAACGTTAAGGTTACCCGGTGGGCATGTAGGTACGAGTCCAGCCGGAGAACGCCTATTTTTCTGTCAAGATTTCTCGAATACTGAGGCCAGCAGATGTAGTTGGATAAAAAATACTGTTTAATTTAAAAAAAAAAAAGAAGGAGCTTCTACTCGAATATGAGTATCCATCAAAAAGTAACATTTAAACAAAATAAATTAAAAATTACAATATATCGGATTTAATCAATTTCCTATATATATATATATATATATATATATGTATGTAAGCAAATATATGGATATAGATCCGACAGTATGAAGAAAAATATACGTAAAAAACAAACAAAAATCCTAATATGCAATTATGCTGTTTTAATGTTAATATAATGCCAACGTCAGACGTTTCGGTCTAGTAGACCATCTTCAGGACATATTCATAAAACATAATTAACATTAGACTATATTTAATTCAATATGAAAAGACGATGGACATAAGAGTAAGACTAATCAAAACAGACAACAAATTTTTCAAGACCAGCGTTCCGTTTCAATATGATCACGTCGGCGTCACGTGGGCGATGTTGTGAAAACGTATTCCTAAAATAGAGTATTTTGAATGAAAAATGAAAATAATTTTATTTTAATCTAAAACTTATATGTACGTTTGTCGAGCATTAATCTTGCTAGAAAAGGGGAAATATTAAAGAAGCCGGGTCTAGTATTCACCGTGCGTGAGATAGATATTATGCCTGCCTCATAAATCCGTCTAAGATTTTTATTATGAATATATTTTAAAATCCTCACAGAATCAAAATCGAAATTATGATCTTGAAAAATTTCAGTTGTCTGTTTTGATTAGTCTTACTCTTATGCCCATCGTCTTTTCATGTTGAATTAAATATAGTCTAATGTTAATTATGTTTTATGAATATGTCCTGAAGATGGTCTATTAGACCGAAACGTCCGACGTTGACATTATATTAACATTCAAACAGCATAATTGCATATTAGGATTTTTGTTTGTTTTTTACGTATATTTTTCTTCATATATATATATATATATATATATATATATATATATATATATATGTTTTGTGTGAGCGTGTGTTTGTGTTGGCGTGGCAACGTCATCAAAGCTCGGTCCAATGGGAACCCTAACAGATGAAACGCGTCACAAAAATTTTTCCAGTTTGTCGTATAACACACACACACACACATATATATATATATATATATATATATATATATATATATATATATATGTGTGTGTGTGTGTGTGTTTATACGACAAACTATATATATATATATATATATATATATATATATATATATATATATATATATGTATTATTTAGCAATCCCATTTTCATACAAGTTTCATGAAAATTGCCTGACAATGTACTGCGGTTAAGTCTTTATTTAATTTTTCTTGTGTTCGTATAAAACCTTTTCTGGACATAAAGTATGTAAAAATTGTCCAAATGTTCTGTATGTCCAAATGTTTTCGGTTATATGCATCTATCTTTATATTGTTTTTGTATGTGAAGTAATTAGTGGAGTATATATATATATATATATATATATATATATATATATATATATATATATATATGTGTGTTTGTGTGTGTGTGTTTGTGTGTGTGTGTGTTTAATCAAGTTCACCTCAAGCCAGACAGTAAAGCCACTAAGACGCAAGGGGTTATTGGTTGTGTAAGATTTAGAAAAGAGAAACTTTACTAAAGAGCTAGTACAGAAGAAGACTAATCAGGAGGACAGTAGAGAGCGATTGACATTGCATTTAAATTTTTGAAGATTAAAGTTGACTGGAAAGTATAGAGCCGGAAGGGAGTTTCGCAAGTGAGAGGTGTGAGTAAAGAAATTGTTAGCATAGAACTTACAGTTACATCTAGCCAATTCAACTGTATATTGATAGACTTAGAGATATGTAAGCTAGAGTCTGGAGAGAAAAATTGTCTAGTACGGTACAATGAACCAACTTTCTTAGCAACTGACCTAGCAATGGCTTCCATATAGTCTTTCCACTTCATGTCAACCGATACCCTTAGCCCGTGAAGGCGCAACAAGTTGCTCTTCTGGAAGTTAGCATCAGTTATGCTGATGGAAAGCTGAAAGGCCTCTCTTAGATGATTAATGGAGAGGAATTCAGTTTTGGATGCGTTTAAATTAACAAGCCATCTTTTGCTCCTGTTAGCAACATGGTGGAGGTCATTTTTGACATCAGCTGCCAATTTGATCTTATCGAGCTGATCCGACTTACCATCAAGACAGGAATAAATGATTGTGCCATTAGCATAGATATCATGTTTTCTTGTGCATACGAGTACTCAATTGTAAATACTTTTAAAAATGCTTTTTAGTACTTATAAAATAACAATTTACATACAGTTTACAGCTTATTTCATGAATAGCAGTTTTTCAAAACAACACAGTAAACAAACGCCCACTTTGAAAAATTTTCATGCTCTAAATGTGTAAGTAAATAAAAATGTTATCACAGGTGTGTATGTATGTGTTTTTTTTTGTGTATCCGCATTTGTGTGTATACGCATTTCTGTGTGTATTTATGCGCAGGTTCGGTTGGAGACAAACGAAAAATCATTGTGTAATTTTTTTAACGTGTAATTTTTCCAATAGACGGAACATTTTTTTTTTTTATGGTTTCTGAGGAGAATTCGAAACAATTTTTCCAATGTCATATGAACAATTTGAAAGAAAATGGCGAAAAGAAAATATGAGAAAATGGCGAGAGTAAAAATAGAAGCGAATGGAGGAACTGAAAGTATGAGAAAATGGCGGGACTGAAAGTATGGGAAAATGGCGGGACTGAAAGAATGGAAAAATGGCGGGACTGAAAGTATGGGAAAATGGCAAGACTGAAAGTATGGGAAAATGGCGGGACTGAAAGTATGGGAAAATGGCGAGACTGAAAGTATGGGAAAATGGCGGGACTGAAGTATGGGAAAATGGCGGGACTGAAAGTATGGGAAAATTATTAAACAAAAAGCACTAATATCCTGTTGTGTTTACATAAATTGGATTTTAACTTAACGCGTATTTTGTATTCTAGTTAGATACGTCGAAGATATAAGCAGATAATATTTAAATATTTCTTGCTTATTTGAATAATTATTATCATCATTAATTATAATTGAGAATTCATACTTTTCCTTTTATGTGCCATGTCTCTTCAGGACGTAGGGAATCATGGCTTTCCACAAATATCTTTTCTTTATACTTTATTCTTTATTTTATATGTTTGTCTAACCTGTCATTGTTCTGCCATTTATTTACACAAATTCCTCAGGTGGCTTAGGCGCTGTTTGGTTCCATGTGTCTTGACTCTCTATATCCTGGGAAGGTAAAATTTTCCAAACCTTTTTTCCTTATTTTACATCCCAAAAATTTCAACAGAATCTGTGGGTTCTCTTTGTTTCTATTTTACTTTAAACTTCCTCGTTGTACAAATTTTCTGTCCATAATATTTTCAGTATCCTTCTTTAGAACCGGATCGCTCTTGCCTCAAATCTCATCTTTATCTGTGAGGAAAATGTTCTGCATTCACTGCCATATAGGAGAATTGATATATATTTTTATCATCCAAAATATTCAGCACTCTTTTCATTGTATCTAAGGAAATTTTACTCTTTCTTAATACTTTGCTTAGCTTTTGGAAGGCATCTTTCGCTATTCCAGTGCGCCTTCGGATTTCGGTGTCAAATTTTCCGCCATCTGTTCAAAAATTTGCCACATAGTTAAATTTCTGTACTTGTTTAAGTATTACGTATCCAATTCTTAACTCGCATCTTGGACTACGCCTCTTACTAACGACTGTGAATTCTGCCTTCTTACAATTAATGGTTAGTTCTTTCTTTTCACCTTCTTTTTGAACATCCCTTGTTTCCTGTTTAGAATTTGATTTCCGGTTCCTTCTAAAGTCTGTTGTCAATTTATAGTTCTAACGTCGCCGACTGACCTATGAAATTTTATTCACTAATTATTTATTTTTTTCTTCTCTCCCAATAAGAGTAAATAGATTCACCCATTGTCCAGTTCACACTTCTCCCCGGTCTTTTGAACATGATTAGATGTTTATCACTTTTTCCTGTTTAAATTTAGCTTTTCTGTTTCTACTTCCAATCTATATTTCTAACGCCTCCGTCTGAACTCTGAAATTTTATTCACTAATTAAATTTTGAACGCTTCAGGTCTAGAGTTAGCCGTAATCTCTTCTGCATATTCCCAGGAACTTAATATCTTCCCCGTTCTCATACAATAACCATTTCATTTGAATGGCACTTTGGCCTTGTATTGGTGAATATTAGTAAAAAAAAAATAGCTAGTTTAGGAGTTCCATCAGTTTTCTTTTTGTGTCTAAAATAAACACGCTGTCTCATTTTGCAATCGGTATCACCTCAAGCAAGGCAGTACAGCAACTAAAACGCAAAGGACTGTGGAGGGATTAGGAACAGAAACATTAGTAACGAGTAGAAAGAGAAAAGAGCAATCAGGAGGACAGTAGATAGCGACTGACATTGCATTTAAATTTTTGCAGATTAAAGCTGGCTGGAAAGCATGGAGTCGGAAGGGAGTTCCACAAGCGAGAAAAGAAACTGTTGGAATAGAAGTTAAGGCTTCATCTAGCCAGCTCAATTGTGTTGTTATGATTTCGTTCAATATTACAGACTGCAATTACCGTTGAAGCTGCGGAAAACTTGGCAACTTGCTGAATGTGTTTACGTAGTGGTCGTTGCTAAAATGTGATTACGAAAAGAATTATTTTGGTAGCACGGATCAAAATAGAAAGGAAGTAAAATAAATCTATCTAACTGCTTTAATATCTATCTATCTATCTATCTATCTATTTCACTGCTTTAATATCTATCTATCTAACTGCTTTAATATCTATCTATCTATCTATCTCACTGCTTTAATATCTATCTATCTATCTCACTGCTTTAATATCTATCTATCTATCTATCTAACTGCTTTAATATCTATCTATCTATCTATCTCACTGGTTTAATATCTATCTATCTATCTAACTGCTTTAATATCTATCTATCTATCTATCTATCTATCTAACTGCTTTAATATCTATCTATCTATCTATCTAACTGCTTTAATATCTATCTATCTATCTATCTATCTAACTTTTTAATATCTATCTATCTGCTTTAATATTCATCATCTGTTTTTAATATCTATCTATCTATCTATCTATCTGCTTTTAATATCTATCTTCTGTTTTAATATCTATCTATCTATCTATCTATCTGCTTTAATATCTATCTATCTCTTTAATATCTATCTATCTATCTATCTGCTTTAATATCTATCTATATTTATTCATCTATCTATCTATCTATCTGCTTTTAATATCTATCTATCTGCTTTAATATCTATCTATCTGCTTTAATATCTATCTATCTATCTATCTGCTTTAATATCTATCTATCTGCTTTAATATCTATCTATCTATCTATCTATCTGCTTTAATATCTATCTATCTGCTTTAATATCTATCTATCTATCTATCTGCTTTAATATCTATCTATCTATCTATCTGCTTTAATATCTATCTATCTATCTATCTATCTATCTATCTATCTATCTATCTATCTATCTATCTATCTATCTATCACCGGTTTTATCGCGTGAGAACACGGCGTGGGAAAATTCTTTTGAACCATTCGTTGTCCTGAAATTAAATTTGTCATTCAAACGAAAATATCTCACACACAAAATGTAGCCTACATAGTAAAACACGTCATTTGTTCACGTATGCCTGAAGTCTCGTTTCTATGAAAATCAAGCTATAAAACGTCAATCTAGCAAAACGTGAAACGTTAATGAAAACAACTTTGCAATTTTCAAACGGACAAGCAGGTAAGATGGATAGAGATTATATATCGCTGCGTATTCCACTGGCATCATTAGTCGGTGTTCAAACTCCTTTAAAAGGCAAAATCTTGAATATTAATTTACAAATGAAGGCAGGTCCTTGTCTGCTGGAAGATTGGCGCAACATGGCCGGTTTACGTAAGATAAGAAATAAATAATTTATAATTTATGTTTCTCTTCAGGTATATTTTATCATCCAAAATATTAACCAGGTTATGTTATACACAAATGATGATTCATTTTCTATCATTTATCAACCCTTTGCATGACATATTTTTAGCGTGTAAGAATTTTTTTGGAGATAATAATGGTTTTAGCGAAACACATCTTACTAATTAACCCATAGCTAGGGGGAGAAGATATGGATTTATACCTTTCCTAACGTTATTTGCGCGTAAGTGAATATAACGAACCCAAATGGAATTGGAATTCGGCTATCCGATCAACAATTCCATTTTCCATTATACCAACCGCACATCCCAGCTTACAGCACCTGCTATTCCCAAGCGGTCACCCATCTAGATAATGACTAGAGTCGACGTTGCTTAAATTCGGTGATTGTATGTTATGTAGATGTAAGCCATTTCTACCCGCACATCCAAACTTACAGCACCTGGTATTCCCAAGCGGTCATTCATCTATGTACTGAACAGGCTCGATATTGCTTAACTTCGGTCAACGTACTGGAAACGGTGTTTCAATGTGATGTGGACGTAAGCCTTTTTATAACCGCACATCCAAACTTAAAGCAACCGGTATTCTGAAGCGGCCACCCATCTAGGTACTGACCAGGTTCGATATTGCTTAACTTCGGGGCAACGTGATGTGGCCGTACGCGCATACAAATGATAAGTTTCGATTGCAATAAATAAGCTTTTATAGAAATCTATTTTTAATTAATTAATTTTTTCTTAAATTTTAATTGAAATTCATTTTTCTTTAATATTCAGTTATCAATTTATTTTCTTTGAAAGCTAAAACTGAAAAAAAAACCAAAAAAAAACAGTGTTCATAATCAACTGAATCTCGTTTACGAAGACTTAAATAATTTAATTTTTAAACTTTCTCGTATGCTTCTGAAATCATTCCTCAGTTGGAGAATTACGGGCTGTCTGATGTCTTTGGGAAAAATGAAATCGGCTTTTAATCAGGAGCAGAATTTCAGTTTTCTAATGTTTATTCAAGTACTTCTAAAATCCACTGGACATTCCTGTCATTGCTAAAATTGTAATCATCATCATCATCATCATCAGTCCCCTGACAGGGTGTGGTCATAAGGTCGCTGGTCACTTGACCAGGCTTTTCCATGTGTCTCGATTGCGTGCTAGTGTCTACGTCTCTGTGGATAATCCTCCAGTTCTCAGTGACATTTTCAGATCATTTTCCTTTCTCTGCCTCTTCGTTTGGTTTACCTTGTAAGACGGGATTGGAAGAACTGTTGGTTCTTATGACGTCTTTATACAATTTCAACTTCATTTTGATAGTGTTTACGAGGTCTTGCAACGGGCAAGTTCCTAGTCTAATGCTGTCTCATCGTAGTAAAAGTGTATTGTAATTCCGTAGAAACTCATCTCTAATACTCGGATTCTTAACTGTAATTCAGCTGTTAATGTCCAACATTCACAGGCGTGAGAAGGTCAATGCACGTAGAAGTCTGACCTTTGATTATAGGCAAATGTTCTTGACTTTTTAAATAGTTCTTAGGTCTGTGACAGACTAGCATTGTTTGCGTTGCTTTTGAGATAATTTCTATTCTGGAGCCATCTTCATTGATAATCGAACCGTAATATTTGAATTGACTCACTACATTAAGTTCCTTACCAGCGACTTTATCAAACTTATTTCAAGCTCACTAAACATTATGTTAATTTGATCAATAAACTATAAATACTATACCAATTGATACAATTATAAATACTATGCTAATTATATAAACAAAAGCTATAACACAATGCCAATTGATACACTTGTAGACGCTATACTATTTATACTAAAAAGCCTATAAACACTATACCAATTGATACAATTACAAACACTATATCAATTAAAGTAAAAACAATATAAACATTATACCAATTTAAACAATTATAGACACTATACCAATTATACCAAAAGACATAAACACAATACCAATTGATACAATTATAGACACTATACCAATAATACTGAAAACCCTATACCAACTAAAACAATTACAAACACTATACCAATTATATTACCTTGTAAGACGAGAGTGGAAGAACTGTTGGCACTATAAACACGATACCAATTGATACAATTACAGGCACTATACCAATTATACTAAAAACATTATAAACACTATACCAATTAATCCAATTATAGACACTATGCCAATTATATTAAAACACTATACCAATTGATCCAGTTATAGACACCATATCAATTATACTAAAACACTATAAACACTATACCAATGATTCTCAATCTTTGCACTATAAGTCAGAATGTCATCCTCCCACTTTCAAAGATTGTCTGATTCAAAAGGTGCATTCTAAATAATATGTATATATTCATTCTTTTCCATATTACTACATATAAATTTTCCATATTACTACATATAAATTTACATGGATTATTTTATAGAGGATTTTTGTTGACATTCATGATGGGCTCCAAATTCTGTAAATAAAAAACAAGAAAACCCTGAAAATCCCTCCTGTGTAACCCCCCCCACCTGGTTTAGAACCCTTGCACTATGCCAATTGATAAAATTGTAGACACTATATGATTTATACCAAGAGCTCTATAAAAACTATACTAATTGATACAATTGTAGACACTATATGATTTATACCAAGAACTCTATAAAAACTATACCAATGGGTACAATGGTAGACACTATATGATTTATACCAAGAACTCTATAAAAACTATACCAATGGGTACAATGGTAGACACTATATGATTTATACCATATAAAAACTATACTAATTGATGCAATTGTAGACACTATATCATTTATGCGAAGAGCTCTATAAGAACTATACCAAATTGATACAACTGCAAACACTATATCAAATTAGCTTAAAAATATGCTCGTTTTTGTTAAATTTTTCTTTTGTCAAATATTTCGCTGGGGATGATTATAAATGTGACTGAAGATTCTGTGAACTAAAGAGCTGAGGTATTTGCTTTTAGCATTTGCGCCACATAGTTAAGGTTGATGGTATGTATATGTCTCAGAGGGAATTATCAAGTGAACTATTTAGAAAAGGATAAGAATGCCGGTACGCTTCTGAATAGTGTGCGCGATTTATAAACTGAGCGAACAGATGGTAAGTCTGAAAGAATCTCGCAGAAAACCCAGACTTGACATTATTTGAAGATTCCAAGAATCGAATAAAATTCAGAATATTTTGTTCTCAACTCATACAGACGACGTTCACACGGAACAGAACCTAAGAAACGACTTGTGTGATTTTATTTTTAACTGTTTCGACTTTTCCTGCTCTTCGAGTAATAAATATTAAGAGGATGATGGGAAATTAGAACAGTTAAAAAAAAAAAAAAAAAAAAAAATCAGTGCATCAGTTCATCGTAATAGTTCCGACCCTAATTTCTACTTAAAGTAACGCAGTTTTAATTAAAAGAGAAAATGATTCTTTAAGGCGAAAATATATAGAAAGTGAACAACTTTTGGAATCTTTACATTCAGGATCAAACAACATATCTGTGGTTTGGTTTGGTTTGGTTTACGGCATATCAACCTCAATGGGTTATTTAATGCCGGCAAAATTTTTATTGCTGGTAATATATTTAAAAAAAAATGTATATTGACATTTTTTTCTTCAAATATGTATTGCTGGTAATAATGTATTGCTGGTAATAATTTTTTCTTCACGAATTTATTGCTGGTAATACAATTTTTTTTTTTACAAAGTATTGATATTAAAACCTATTTTTACACTTTCAAAGTGTTTTGACCACAGTTTTGGGGTTAACTATTTACCCATAGTTGGGACCTTAACAAGTGCTACCACACCGGGTCAGGGAATACCAGCAATTAAGCGATGGTTCCACACCCCTCAAAACCTCCTGATCAGAGGTCTTGCTGTTGGACTTAGTTTATCGTCTTACCCAGCACGCGGATATAGTTTATCGTCATACCCAGGACGAACAAGATATCTCTTTCCCTCATAAAAGTACTGCTATGACAATGTGAGATATTTTAAAAATAACAACGATAAACAAAAAGAAGATATAGTATATAAAAGAAGTATATATTATATGTTTAAAGAATGTAGTTTTAATTTGAACAGTAATTTGTTAAGGTAAAATATGTATTGAAAGTACTATAATTTCGGAATCTTCCGTTGTCAATTTACTTTCAGGATCTCTTTTCTTCATAAAACTACTACTATTAAAATATGGGATTTGTTCTTGCTTTGAATATTGCTTCTACATATGATTTGGTGCTTCAGATATATATTTAGAGATCCTTGATAAAATCCAAAAAAGAATCAGCAATATTATTGGTAGTGATCTAGTGTTTTGGCTTCAGCGCCGTAAGTTTGCCACACTGTGTCTTTTCTATAAATTCTTCATGGTAAGTTTTCGGATGGGCTCTTCGTTATGGCACCTAGATTATATTAATTTAAGCGCAGTACTCGACTGGCGATGAGGTCTCATCAATTTACAGTTTAGTTGGGTGGATGTAACCGTAGGTTCTATGCTAAAAGTTTCTTCCCTTGCACTTCTCGCTCGTGGAACTCACTTCTGGTTTCTTTCTTCCTAGTCAACTTTGATCTTAAAAAAATTAAATGCAATGTCAGTCGTTATTTATTGTCATCTTAATTCTTGTTCTTTTATTGTTCTCTCTTCTTAATAGTGTTTTTCTCATATTCTCCAACACTCAGTAACCCCTAGCGTCATAGTAGCTTTATTGTCTTGTTTAGGGGGGGGGATAAGGTTATCTAGGTCATGACTATAAATACATCGAGTGCCAAAAATAATTAAGCTTCATTGCATCTTCCCGATGAAGTATTTTAACCAGCGTTTCTTGTATTTTCTGTATTTATATATATATATATATATATATATATATATATATATATATATATATATATATATATATATATATATATATGTGTGTGTGTGTGTTTTATATTATATTTAAAATTGTAACCTAGAAAGGGTTATTGAATGAGGAATAACCAAAATGGCGGTTGGAAATGGTAATCTTTATAACATCAACAAAATAGAATACTCGCCATCGGCGGGAAGTAGGTAACACAATGCTTGTGGTGGACTACTTAGACAGCATATTATCACCCCCCTCTTACAATAGTGTCCAACGTATTTATGAGGATTGGGGCATAGCCATTAATGTTCGGTATGGTATATAACAATATATATAAATTTCCATCGAAAAAATCATTATTATTATTTTCGAGGGATGAAACGTCTTTTTTTTCTTATTTTGTCATTTAATTATCCACAGTCATAAATACATGTGTGTGACCTTTTCTCATCAAGAAAACGATTGGAGGGAGAAAAAAAAAAGAAAGTTGACAAACAATTTTAAGACCACTGACTGAGTTATAGATATCTTGTTTACAGACTGTGTGAGTGAGATGTACTTCACTTTAGAAAAAAAATAGATCATTCAGCCGTTACAATCAGTAGAGGGTGTCGTCTGAATGGGAAATTTTTGTCTCTCTATTGAAGCTGACTTCGTGAAAGCGTGTATTACCGA